AAAAAAAGTGAGGCCACGCACTGCGGCCCAGTGTAGATTTTCAAATAAGAAAAGGCTGTTCCCACTTAGCTGGGTATCCAGCTTGTCATTTCCGCCCTCCCTCCCGTGGGGAGATTTATTTCAAAAGCTTCACTATTAGCAAGATTGTGGTCCGGATTGTCTCACGTTCCTTGTCTACCCTTGTCCTGCTTTTCCCCCCCTCTAGGGTGAATTTCAGAAAAATATTTTCCTGGTGTAAAACTACTGAATCATAGAGCCGGATGGTGTCCAAGGGGTCATCTAGTCTAGCCGCTTGCCGAAACATCGCAGAGAGATAGCTTTTCGACCTCTCTGCGAAAACCTGCAGTAAAGGAAGGTCCAGCATCTCACGAGGCAGTTCATTCTGCAGCTGAACAGCCCTTTCCCCTAACATTTCATTAAAAAACTCATTTCTCGTAACTTTAATCCATTCTTTAGGTCCTACACAAACCCTCGCAGTTGGGAGAGGCCAGGGGAGACCGCCATCTCGACTTTAAGAAGTGGTGTTTCATGAAGACCTACAAAGGCATGATTCTCCTCGCATAGCTTTGTCTTTGTAAATTAGCTTGCTCTGTAAATTAGCTTGCTCTGTTTGATGATTGGGTGTAGGGAGGGGCTAAACACAGGATTCGTTTGCAAGTCGGATGCCGCAGCCAGGAAGGTCTGAAAGAATTACATTCCTGGAGGGAAAAAGATGCTTATCGATTTCTAATGAAGAGCCCATGTCTTTGGCCAGTTTGGCTGCCCCGTCAGTCAAGCCTCCCCTAAAATGCTCATCGAAGAAGCCCGCAATTTCTGAAGGGAGCCAAGCAAAAACACAACACCCAGCCCACGTGAGGTTCTGTGCTTTGGACATCCCGAACAGAGCTCAAATGTTCTCCAAATATTATAACGTCCAGATGACCCATCCAGGACAACCCTGATCGGATCTCAAATCTGTTGTGTTAGTTATGTAAAATTTATTATGCGAGTGGTCAGTGTTACCAAGGCAGGCCAGAATTTCTGATTCGAAAGCAGAAAACTCCAGGATCCTGCTGGTGGCTTGATTCAACGTGGCATCTCTTTTGAGACACGTAGACCCAGATGGAGGAAGAATGAGAAAGAGAGCGAGGTAGCACCCTCTTGAGCAAAACATACAAGTGATTGACTTGGTCCATAATGAATATCTCAGGCTTTACCAATGGGAATGAAATGGCTCTCTTTATACCTCTACAGTGACTTCACCGTTGGCAGGGGCCGAGGGTGTCACCGAAAGCTGCCTTTGGAAACGATGTTTTTGGGCAGAAGGACGATGGATCGGACAGCGTCCAGGGTGGCGCAGACGTGGGGGGATAGCTCAGGCGAGGGTGTCTGTCTGCGGGACGCTCTGTCTCTACGCCTGGCGGTGGCGAGGTGGTCTATGGCGCCTTTTGGGCACCGTAGCTTACCTGCCCGGGGGGGATGTTGGTGTTGAGGGTGACATCATGTCTGTACAGGCAGGGCACAGCTAAAAGGCGCTCCTTTGATTTAGAACAGCTCCAGGGTGGGTGAGCGCGAGATGCGGTGGAAGACACGTCAGGGTCTGCCATGCAGGGAGGAGACAGACACCCAACATCGGCTGCTGAAACCCCGAATGAATCATGAGACAGAATTTAAGAGGGAGGTTTTGTGCCAGGAGACGATGGGGCAGGGGACGGATCTGGGTTCAAGCCAAGAAAAAAGGGTTTACTTCATGTTGATTCTCCTTGGTTAACATGGAGGGCTAATATTCTCCCTTCCTATATGAACCCCAGTGGAATCCTTGGTACCTGTATTTGACCGCTGGTCCAGCTGGGTTTTTCTTAGATCCGTGACATGAAGGTGCTCGGAATCTGACAGCATTGGGTGGCTGACATGCCACGTCGTTTAGCATTTTGCTGTGGTTTGTGGTCTTCCAGAGGAGTGGGCAAGCTTCAGCCCCTTTGGCATGGGCGAAGTATAGTATAGAAGAGCTTTATAGGGTACGTTTATTTGTTTTTCATGGAAATGCCCAAAGTTAAATAAGTGAGTACAGTACAATGAGGGTATAGGAACAAACCCGGGATGGGGCTCATACCATAGGACTCATCGTCAAGTCGGACTTCAGTTGCGCAGGCGACGAGCCTCGAACTCGAGACGTGTTTTTTTCTTCAAGCCAAGAAAAAAGGGTTTACTTCATGTTGATTCTCCTTGGTTAACATGGAGGGTTAATATTCTCCCTTCCTATATGAACCCCAGTGGAATCCTTGGTACCTGTATTTGACCGCTGGTCCAGCTGGGTTTTTCTTAGATCCGTGACATGAAGGTGCTCGGAATCTGACAGCATTGGGTGGCTGACATGCCACGTCGTTTAGCATTTTGCTGTGGTTCGTGGTCTTCCAGAGGAGTGGGCGAGCTTCAGCCCCTTTGGCATGGGTGGAGTATAGTATAGAAGAGCTTTATACGTTTATTTGTTTTTCATGGAAATGCCCAAAGTTAAATAAGTGAGTACAATGAGGGTATAGGAACAAACCCGGGATGGGGCTCATGCCATAGGACTCATCGTCAAGTCGGATTTCAGTTGCGCAGGTGACGAGACTCGAACTCGAGACGTGTTTTTTTTTTCTTCCAATAACTTGACTTGTGACTCAGAACCCATCCACCTTCCCTCCTCCCAGCTTAAGAGGGACTCAGACCCAAACATTTGCTCAGAACCCTGGAAGAAAACGTGATCCATCAAGATCCTGTTTTTGGCATTTGAAGAGAATTGCATGCATTTTTCTCAGAGGAGGGAAGATTAGGATCAGGTGACCGATGCGCCTGGAAAATTGCCGGTCCAAGTGGCATTGACGGTGGATGATGGGCATCTTCTTCCCTCCGTCCTCTGTGGTTTTAACTCATAAAAATCAAGTTTGGGTTGAACGGTCTTCCAAAGTATATACCTTCCGAAGAGGGCTGTCGTCCGTAGGGGAAAGACCTGGGGCCACCTTAACTGGGAGAGCTTTCACTATAAGGCAGGACATCAATATGTTAATATTTAGGGAGGGTGGCCTGCAGAACCTTTTTATAGTGCAGGCTTCCACACTGGAGGTTTGCATACACATGCGGGGAGCAGATCTACCATAAAACTAGCTTAAACTTCAGAGACCCTAATTCTGGAGGGATCCAAGAAGTGGCACGGTTTTAAAAATGGTGGTGATCTGTCATGACAGGGGTCACCCAGACCTCTTGGCTGGTTGTGAAGGGGACCCCATAACAATCCAAGCTTCAGGACCCCAAAAACGGAGGTCTGCCAGTCAGGGAGGGCACAACCAGCCCTGTGAATTTCCCCCGGGGTCCCGTCCAAAGTGAGTTGCAGGGAGGGGCGAGGGTGGGAAGCGACGCTTCGGCTCTTCTTTCGCCTTCCTCTCTCATGCCTTGGCAGGGTTCCCTGGCTTCTCGGCAGGGGAGAGCCAGTCTGGCGGTTTTGGCCGGGCAGAGGAGAGGCAATCCTCCAGGGGGAATCCGAACAAGAATCTCTTTGCTGGGGGAAACACGCCGTTGAAATAGAGGGCTGTTTGGGGTGGGGGGTGGAAGGCGAAAGTGAAATGCTCTCCAAGATGGGGGTGAAAATTTGGAGGGGGGGGAAAGGAGAGGCGGCTGTACTGTAAGGCCCAGTTGTTTCCAAAGCCTGGCTTTGTTTGAGCCAGGATCCAGCCCCAGAACCTGTTTCTACGGTATAAGGATATTGTTATGTTTTAAAGCATCGTGCTAGGAAACGTGCCGCTATTATTAAACAGCTGCCTGAAGTGATAAGATGTTAGTTCTGAGCTCTCGGGGAAACCCTTCCTCTCTCTTGGAGTGCAAAGCGGGGTGTCTCACAGGCCGGCTTGTTCCTCCTAAATGAAGAACGTACGGGACTTCATTGTTGTACTTTGCCTCAGGCAGCAAAATGTCTTGGGCTGCCCTGTCAATCAGATCAAATCAAAGTCCTTGGAGGCTGGTCTACTATTTAGGGGCAGATTATGTTCCACTGTCAAGAAGAATATGAAGGTGGTGACATGCACCCCATGCTTTTTGTCCCTAGAGGTAGACTGCCCTTGTACACAGAAGCTCGACTTTGCTATCATGGCTAGTAGCCATACAGACAGAACTGTTCTCTGTGGTTTAACTTCATCAGCTTCTGGTGACCCTTTCCAGGGTTTTCCAAGTATAACCTGTTCAGAAGTGGTTGACCATTCCCTCGCTCTCTTGAGGGGAGATGAGACATTTGAGTGGTTTTACCAGTTCCTGTGACTGAGTGGGAATTCGAACCCAAGCCTGAGCCTCAGTTATCTGCTCATCTATACTTGAAGTGCACGGTGCTTAAATTTGGCCTCTTTGCTTGTGTTAACCCGGGACAGGCAAAACCAGCTTCAGTTTAAAGTCATAATGAGGAAAAACAAGGTGTCTCTGAGCATATGCAGATGGCCTGCACTTCATGGAGTGTGTGTCACAAACAAGGCGGTGTGGCTCTCCTCTCCCTCCATCCCACCCACCCCCTCCTCTGTGTGTGTGTGTGTGTGAGTGTGAGTGTGAGTGTGAGTGTGTGATTATCCCTTACTGTTTGTTGAGCAAAACAAAATCTCCCGGCCATGGTTGGCTTTTTTAACGGAGCCCTCCTTCCTCCCTGTGTTTATTTACTTAGCACTTAGCTAAACCAACTCCTTTCCTGGCCTACCTCGAAGGGTGCCAAAGTACAGCGCCCCCTAAGGGCGGGGCAGAAAGGGACCAAGAAAGGGGTGGAAAGAGACGGAAGTGGAGCCAGGGCGAGATGGAGGGAAGCTTGATGCCTCGGCCAAGATTTGGGGGAAAAAGAGCATCGTGCCGATGCAGGCGTCCGTATCATAACGGCCTCCCTCTTCCTTCTCCACAGATGTTAAGGAATGACCCCAGTGGCCGCCATTCTGCCTTCTTGGCCTGAGCGCCAGCCTTCGCTCGGTGTGCTGGGCCTTGATAATTTCATGCGCCTCTCTCTCTCTCTGCAGTTCATCATCTCGGAGAGCGACCGGGAAGAATCGTCCTGCGTGGTCGAGTGCCCCCATGAGCGCGGACGGCCGATCTGCGCCTCGGATGGGAAGCTCTACAAGTCGCCCTGCGTCTTCCAGAAAGCGCGGTGTCGGGAGCCTTCCCTTGAAGCCTGGCCTCGCTTCCGCTGTGGTGGGGCAGCCCACCGAGAGCCCAACAGTAGGTAGAGACTTGGCAAAGGGAAGGTGGGAGGGGAGGAAGCCTTACTGTGACAACCAGAGGCCGTTTAGCACTATAAGAAACCCCACTACTAACGAGGGGCTCTCTTTAACGCCCAGTTTGAACCTCAATAGATGCCAGGTGCAGGAAATTTTTAAAGGGTGACGGGTGAGCTCTGCACATGCTCAGTGATGCTCTGGTGCTTCCACCCGGGACCAACAGCTGATCATAGCCTTCTTCCACGGCTTACTTTGTAGGCACCAATTTTACCCGCTGCCAGGAAGACCGGATGGCTGCTCTCTCCCAATCCCAGCGCCAAGCCCACACCGCTTACATCCCAGAATGTGATGAAAATGGCTCCTTCCAGCAGGTGAATTCTGCACTTGCTCTTTTTTCTTTCTTTACTTGGCATTTCCCGTTTAATCCTTGCTTTGCAATGCTGTAATTCCCAAAGGGGGTCAGCCCTGTTGGTCCGTGGCGGCCAAACTGAGAAAGAATGCAGCCCAACTCATCTGTAAAAAACGGTGAAAGTGAGAAAAGCGCCAGGTGTGACACTAATGTTTTTCACAGTCAAGGAATTCCTTTTTCTAATGACAGGTAATCTCTAATGTGTCACTTTCTAAAATATTCATCCTGCCATGGGTTCACCTTTTTTCTGAAGAAATGAGAGTCAGTTGGGGGAAGAGGAGTGATCACACAACACACTGAAGGTGTATAGCTTGATATTTTTAGACTACAACTTCCAGAATTCCCCAGGTGTTGTAGCCACCTAGAGTGTTGAGTTGCCTCCCAGATGTGCCACCTGGGAAAAAAAATTTGCAAGTCAGTTCAGCTCAGGTACAGGAGCTTTCAAGACGTCTCGTGCCTGGGAGGAAAACGGTGTGATCAGCTGAGAAATGATTTTCCTTTAATGTATGACTTGACTCTTTAATTGTGAAAGTGCAACGGCCAGCTATTCCTGCACAGTGGTGAAGAAGGTACAGGAGCTTTCAAGACGTCTCGTGCCAGGGAGGAAAATGGTGTGATCAGCTGAGAAATGCTTTTCGTTTAATGTATGACTTGACTCTTTAATCGTGAAAGTGCAATGGCCGGCTGTTCCTGCACAGTGGTGAAGTAAAAGCTTTCTGTACATGTTCAGAGGCTCAGGGAGAGTGTTAAGAGAAGTGATGCAGAGGCTACAAAATTAACTGATGTGCTTTTTCCCCCCGCTGATGGTGTGAACAGAGAGAAATACATATTTTTAGACTGAATTTTCATCTTTTTTCTCTCCTCCTTAGGTCCAAGAGGCTACAAAATTAACTGATGTGCTTTTTTTCCCGCTGATGGTGTGAACAGAGAGAAATATATATTTTTAGACTGAATTTTCATCTTTTTACTCTCCTTCTTAGGTCCAGTGCCATAAACAGACAGGATACTGCTGGTGCTCCACACCAGAAGGCAAGCCGATTAGTGGGACCTCAGTACTGAATGGAACGCCGAATTGTACAGGTAGGCCTCCTTCTATCGTACGAAATGTTCGTGGTGTCTTCCACAACATCCCCCCATCTTCTTTCATCAGAAAAGAGGTTTTCTTCCAAATCTGCTCCAGATCCTTGCAATTCACAGAAATGGAGGATTTGTATTTTTCCTCGTTACGTCCATGAATTGTGCTGTCTTGCTAGGATGACGAAAATAAAGCAGGCGGAAATTCGATTTTAAGGAGTAAGACAAGAGAGGTGAGGGAGAATTGGTCTGTAACCCTGCCTCTTTCTGCCTCGCCCTGCAGGGCCCTACACCGTGCGAACGTCATGGCAAAATCCGAACTCGTCCCGGAGAGGTGAGGCTAAACCCCGTCTTCTCCTCTTCCCCTTTTGAACACAGGCCCCTCATTTGTGTACTTTTCTACCCAAAACTGGACTATCTTGAATGAAGGAGAAGATTTTTTTTAAAACCCAGAGCTAGCCGTCAGATCTACGCGTGCGTCTGCACTGTAGTTACAGCAGTTTGATCCTGTTTCAACTGCTGTGCCTCCAACTGTTCTGGAACCGCGGGCCTTGCCGTTTGGTGAAGGACTTGGAATCCTGCGCTAGAGAGTCCTAGCGCTCTCCCTCTCAAGTAAACTGGCAGATTCTCTGTGCCTCAGGAGGAACTACAACTCCCAGATTTCCGTAGGATGGATCCATTTGGCCGTCAGAACGGTGTCCAACTATAAGTGTATAAATGTCATGTAGATATATAATGGGACCCCTGTATCCATGGGGGATTGGTTCCAAAGCCCCCCACGGATTCTGAAAAATGTAGAATATAGCAAACGCTATTATAATAGTGAGCACTATACATAGCATTGTGTCTGTGTCCTCCTGGTGGCCAGTTCTGGTAATGACATTGTAAAAATATCATACATAGCATGGTCTCTGGCTCCCTCTAGTTTCCAGTTCTGGTAACGTCATTGTTTTTTATATATTTGTTCTGTGTATAAGACTCCCCCATGTATAAGACGCCCCCTTTTCTAACTCAAAATTAAGAAATCTAAGCAGGGCTTAGCAAGTGGAGGGGGGTCAAAGGAATCCTGCGGCTGCATGATCACTTTGATCCCTTTCCCCCGTGGGGCTTAGCAAGTGGAGGGGAAAGCAGGGATTAAAGCAATCCTGCCGCTTAGCGAGTGGAGGGGGGAAAGCAGGGATCAAAGTGCTGCAGGATAGCTTTGATCCCTTTCCACTTGTTTTTGTTCTCTCCTCAGCTCACTTCCGTATATAAGACTACCTTAATTTTTAGTCTAAAGATTTTAGACAAAAGTACCGTCTTATACATGGAAAAATACGGGATATATGGGATTTTCCTTTCATTATTTTTAATATTTTCTGCATGTCTGAGCCACAGAGCTGCTGTCAGGTAAAGGCCCCAGACTTCAATCATCCTGTAGAGCTCTGAAACAGAATTGGAGAGGGTGATTTTCTTGGGAATTGCAAGTCTCATGATGACTGACTTGGCTGGCCCGGGGATTCTGGGACTTAGAGTAAAAAAAAAAAACAACACCCACCCCCAAGCTTTGCTCTGAACTCCTCCACCTTTTGGAACAGAGTAGATGACACTAAAACCTCTGTAATAGTTGCCTTCGACCTCTTTTCCTCCCTGAACGCAGAAGAAGGCGTCCGGCCCCGGCCAACCCAGCCAAGCCCCCAGCCCCACAAACAGGAAGGTAAGTGGCTGGCCCCCTTTGTCTCACACACACACTCCTAGTTTCTCCCATTCAGGCCTCTGGGAAGTGCAGCCCCTTGTCCCCATTGCTAAGGGTTGGTCTGCAGTATAAAGAAAGGTTTCTGATATACAGTAGGACCCTCGTATCTGTAGGGGATCAGTTCCGAGTCTCCTTGCCCGCGGATGCTGAAATACGCGGATTATAGCAAACGCGACACATAGCACGGTCTCTGGCTCCCTCTAGTGGCTAGTTCTGGTATCTTCATCTTTAGAAATGTCTTTTTCTGGGATTTTTCTTTTCATATTTTCAGATTGTGGATAAGTGAATCAGTGGATACTGGTCCTGCAGATAAGGAGATCCTACTGTCCCTGTTTATTGGACAGCTAAAGAAAGCAAAAAAAAAAAATCCCATCCCCTCATTAAGGAAATATCGGCCAATCAGTCGGTTCAGTCTCTGTCGGATTGTGGTTGCTCCCATTGCAAAATCCCGCTGAACTTTTTTCAGGTGTGATTTGTAGTGGGGGGTTGACCTATAACTTTCATAAATGTCATTAAACATAAAAAAGTAAACCCAACAAGGAAGAGTCGTCAAGGGAACTTAAAAGACAAGCCCATTTTATATGGCGCAAGCTTTCTGATGCGGAGCATCCTAACATTTATTTATTTATTATCTATCTCTTTTATTTATATACTGCCCCGTTCATGCAGGAGGACTAATCTTCATCTTTAGAAATCAACAGGGGAAATAACCATGTAGAGAAATAAGTAATAATGGTTCATTAGCCATCCGTTATATTTCGTGGACGGCTAGAGGCCGTTCTGCACACAGCGATAAGGCCCGCTCGTCTACGGATGACATCCTTCATCCTGTTTTAGGTTTGGTTCTTGCCTGGGAAACCGATCCTGCAGCTCAGGAGCCCTGTTTCCCGGCCTGCATCTCTACCTGTGGAATGGCTACCCTCAAGTGGGGTGCCTTGTGAAACTGTTGGAATAGATGCCTCCCTCGGGTAGAACTGGCATAGCCGGGTGGCATGGAGGGGGCGCCGTCTGCTCCACGGAGCTCAGGGCGTGGGCGTTGGACCAGTCAGCGGTTCCTTGGGGGGCTGGTTTTGGCCCCAAGCCTCCGGGATTTGGGGTCCGTTCTCCAGGTTCTGAGTTTGGGAGCTGAAGTCTCAGGGACTGGCCTGCTGCCAGCCGTAGACAGCAGGAAGTGCCGTCTTCCCATGCTCAGAGGCAATCTTGTCTTTTAGGTTACCATGCACGCTCCAGAGCTGCTGCTGCTGCTGGAACTGAAATGTTGACCGTTAAAGGCATGACCTTGTGCCTCTGTCACACACACACCTTTTTGCAATCCTGGCCGTGGGGTGCGCTGATGGGGAAGGGTGGGGCGTCTAGTAGCCCCCTAACACCGTGTCTTCTCTCCGTTTCCTGCTCTCTGTGTGTCTGTGTCCGCCTGTGTCTCTTTCTCTCTCCTCTCCACCCAGAGGGAACCTCCCTGCCCTTCTTGATCCCCATCATCATCCCGGACGTCAAGCCCAACCGCACGGCGAAGGAAGCTCAAGGTAAGGCCCCCGGGGAGCCTTTACCTCTCGTCCTTGTTCTGGATAAAACGCAAGAAAGATCTTGCAAATCCTGACATGAACCGTGACCAATGTGTGTGAATGATGTTTTTTTTTTTTACTCTCTCTTTTTGTTTTGGACTACGACTCCCAGAATTCCTCAGCCCTTGCCATGGCGGTGAGAGGATGCTGGAAAGCATAGTCCAAAAAGAGAGGGGAACAAAGCCAAGCCCTGCTCTTTTGTAACCCTGTAGTTCAGAGCAGAGGAAATCCATTGAATGGGTCAGTAACGGATGGGGGGGTCTCAGGCACCAAGGCCAGGTTCCTCTTGAAAGGCCAGCCGTTTCTCTTAAGTAGAGGTGGGCACGGACCGAAGTACAAACCAGGGAGGAAAAAAACATGAGCTGGACCGGAACCCCAAAAATGAACCACGAACCTGTTCGGATTTGGGGAGGGAGGTTGTGATCGTTTGCGGTTCTTGGGTAGCCACAAACCACGAGCCGTCTACGAACCACCGGTTTTCTGCTTCATGCCCAACTCTGACTCGTGTTTGTTCATCCATTAACGAATTGGACTTGCCACACTCGTGTAGTGCCCACTGATTCTAGGGGCCTACTCTAGAGGAGACTCACCGCTGGGCTCTACGAGCCGGAGGCAGGAGGGTGGGAACCGGTGTGTTTTCTCTCCTAACCAGTTGTGCGTCTTCTGCTCTCTTTTTTTGCCTCCTCGCCTGCAGAATATCCGCCCTCGTGTGAGCAGGAGCGTCGCGAAGCCATCGAGGAGGCCCGGCAGCACCAACAGGAGGGCACCTTCGTGCCCGAATGTGAAGGAGACGGCACCTACAAGGCGGTCCAGTGCCACCAGGCCACCAGCTATTGCTGGTGCGTGCGAGTGGACACCGGCCGGCCGATTCCGGGCACTTCCACACGGTCAGTGTTGTCTTCTCCTTCGTTGGAAGCCGCCAGCATCGATTTCACGGCAGTTGGGGGTGTGTGTGCAGTGCTGTGTTTTGGTCTGAACTTCACAGTCACAGTCCTGACTCCTGAACCCTCTCCCTCAAAACAGGGAATGATCCTAGTTCAGGATCAGAACCCACCTTGAAGGTCCTTGAGTTCATTATTCTGACATGCCCAGGAAATCATTGAACAGAGAGAAAAGGGTCCCTGTTCTATTCAGAGCTTTGGGAAGTTATTATTTTTTTCCCCAGACCAAAATGTCTCAAATTCCTCAACGAGCATGCTAGAATTTGTATTCGCATGAAGTAACACTCCTCAATCTCACCCCGCAGATGCCGAAAAATAATCAAACGCAAGAGACCCTGAGTGGTCTCTGTTTCCCTCTAGTGGCCAGTTTTGATAAATACACCCTGGAAATATGTATACACCTTTCTGGGGTTTTTTATTTAATATTTTCAGGAAACGGATAAGTGAATCAGTGGACCGTGATCCCGTGGATAGCGGGTCCTACAGTATTCATTCTTACTCTAAAGATTCAGATTGCTGTTTTACATGGATCAGGAAACAACATCCATCTCGTTGCTTCCCTCCGATAGCAAAAAACCTACTCTCTTGGTGAAGGCGACCAAAAGTGTTTCTAGCTTTCACCGGTTGCTTGTGAGCTTCCTGGACGCCTCTGGCTGTTCCCTATCGGAAACGGGGCCCCGGGTGACGGATTCAATCCGGCAACGCTTCCCGCTCAGCCCGATCACGGCTGGTTTTTCGGGGAAAGGAGGCAAAACTCAGGAGGGCAGTTTCCAGGTGGGTCCTGGGGGTTTGCAAGAAAACGGGCGGGTTTTGTCTCTGTTACGAAGCACGCTGGAAAAAGTTGGCCTCTCAACCACCCGCCTTCCTTCCTGCCTTCCAGGTTGTCCGGGTTCGAAGAAGGCCGAGTTCCTCTCCACCCTGATTAAGGCATTGGCTTCCGATATGATGCAGTCGAGAATGATGCCCGTTCCATACCGAAGGTAAACACCGAGGGGCCGCTTTCCCCAACTACGGAAGACCTTCTGCACTTGACTTACGGGAGCCGAAACAGGTTGATCTGTAAGAGATTGAAGCCCGTGCCCATGATTTTCCCGGTTCGAAGAAGGCCGAGTTCCTCTCCACCCTGATTAAGGCATTGGCTTCCGATATGATGCAGTCGAGAATGATGCCCGTTCCATACCGAAGGTAAACACCGAGGGGCCGCTTTCCCCAACTACGGAAGACCTTCTGCACTTGATCTGAAACAGGTTGATCTGTAAGAGATCGAAACCCGTGCCCATAATTTTCCCCATGATATTCAGCCTAAATCTGTCTTCCTGTTGCTTGAGCCCATGGTTGCGTGTCCTGCACTCTGGGATGACCAAGAACAGATCCTGCTCATCCTCTGTAGGACAGCCTTTCAAGTCTTCAAAAAGTACTATCCTATCTCTCCTCAATCTTCTTTCCTCAAGGCTAAACCTGCCCAGTTCTTTCCGTCTTTCCTCCTTATAGGGCTTGCTTTCCAGCTCCCCTTCTGATCCTCCTTCTTGCCCTTCTCTGAAACTTCTCCAGTTTGTTGGCCTCCTTCCTAAAGCCAACGGATTCCGGTTTTTAGAAAGGAGAGCCCAAGAGCCCAAAATCTGAAGCCAAAATTCTCCGGCTGCTTCTTGCTTTTTCATCTGCAGGTTCCCGGACAGCTTGGCGGGCCCCAGCCTGGAGGAGCGGGCGGTGCGCTGNNNNCGTATCTGCTCTTTTCCGTCCATAGAAACTACAGTGGAACCTCTACTTAAGAACTTAATCCATTTTGGAATGGTGTTCTTAAGTTGAAACGTTCTTAAGTTGAAGCAAAATTTCCCATAGGAATGGACTGAAAACCAATTAATCCGTTCTGGCTGTTTTTTTTTTGTTATGTAGAGGTGTGTTCGTACATTGAAACATTAGTTCCCATAGGAACTAATGCAAAGCTGGTTAATACGTACTCTACCACTAGGGGGAGAATTTTTTTTAACCTAAGATGATCTAAGGTTAAAAAAAGAGCAGGAAAGGTTTTTTTTCCTGTTCTTATCTTGGATTTCTGTTCTCAAGTAGAAGCAAAATTTAGCAAATGGAGCTGCTCTTACGTTGGATTGTTCTTAAGTAGAGACGTTCTTAAGTACAGACCCCACTGTAGATTAATTGTATGCCAGAATTCTGTAAGAAACCAACTCTCACACACATGATACAGTAAGACCCATGTATCCAAGGGACCAATATCCACTGATTCACTTATCCACAGCCTGAAAATATTAAAAGAAAAATCCTAGAAATATTTATTTCTAAAGGTGAACTTACAAGAACTGGCCACTAGAAAGAGCCAGAGACCTCATTATGTAGAGCGCTCACTATGAAATGAATTTTTGCTATAACCTGCGTTTTTCAGCATCCGCAAGCTGGGGGGGCTTAGAACTGATCTCCCCCATGGATAATTGAATCCGATTGTAACAGAACAGGAGGAAATATGTAACTTTCTGCATCAGAGACATGTAGATTTGCAAGAGATAAAAACCCATGCTTCTGGTTTCTGTAGAATGTCATCTACAACCACCAGGAGGATGAATAAATCAGGAAGGGTGTGTGTGAATGTATTTTTTTTTTCTGGACTGCACATCCCAGATTCAGCCAGCCAGCCTTTCATAAGGAAACCCCCCACTTTCCTAAACTCTACCGCTGACCCTCAAGGAGCCACTGAATGCCACAAGATCCAGTGCCACTACCCGGCTTATTGTTACGAGGTTGGAGAAACTGAATTATGGTCCCACTCCATCGTTTCTCCATTATCCTTTTATTTTATTAAGGTGGTTCCCTGCCTTCTCCCACTTCAAGGTCTAAGATGACTCTTAAGTCATCTTTCCTGCTGATCCCTTTTCTCTCTCAAAGTCCTTGACGCCCTTTTTGCTCATGATTAAAATTAATCTCTCCCCTTCCGACCTGTTCTTCTTTCTCAGCGGGCTCCCACCAGGCACAAAGGAACCCTGAACTTTTTAACCTTACCGTGGATTAAATGTGGATTCTGTCCATGGAGCAGAGTTGCTTATAAAACGGCAGGTTCAGCGCCTGTTTTCCTGGGGAAACTGACGGGAGTAACTTAAAACCCTCTTTTTCCTTTTGTTCACCACTTAAAATGTACAGTATTTCTCTCCTGCAAATTCTTCGTGGGAAACTCAAAACCTCGGTTTCCTAATTAAGACGTAATTTTTTTAAAAAAACAACTTACAATTTAATTGTTGGAGTTTTATATTCCTTCATTGGTTTAATTTGGTTTTGAGATCTTTTTCCTCCCACTGCATCTTTTTCTTGATTGTTTCTTCTCGATTTCCAGCTGGGTTAATTTAATTTGCTGCCACACTATTGTTGCTAAACTGAATTGGAAAACTTTGGGTTCTCAGGCACAAAAAACCTGCCTAAGATAAGCCTGTGAAACCACAGTAAAAAGGGAGCCCGTGAACTTTTGCTCTAGAGTGGAATTCTTCTGCCCTCCTGCTATTCTGCCCAATCAGTGCAAAGCGCTACAATGACTGACAAGCGTTGTTGTTGTTGGTTGCCATTAATTTAATTTGCTGCCACACTATTGTTGCAAAACTGAATGGGAAAACTTTGGGTTCTCAGGCACAAAAACCTGCCTAAGATAAGCATGTGAAACCACAGTAAAAAGGGAGCCTGTGAACTTTTGCTCTAGAATGGAATTCTCTTGCTGCCACACTATTGTTGCTAAACTGAATTGGAAAACTTTGGGTTCTCAGGCACAAAAAACCTGCCTAAGATAAGCCTGTGAAACCACAGTAAAAAGGGAGCCCGTGAACTTTTGCTCTAGAGTGGAATTCTTCTGCCCTCCTGCTATTCTGCCCAATCAGTGCAAAGCGCTACAATGACTGACAAGCGTTGTTGTTGTTGGTTGCCATAAGTCACCCCTGACTTATGGCAACCCTATGAATGAGCCATCTCCAAAATCTCCTGTCCTCAACTAACATGCTCAGCTCTTGCAAACTCAACCCTATGGCTTCCTTGAGGGAGTCGGTCCATCTTGTATTTTGGTCTTCCTCCTTTCCTCCTGCCTTCCACCTTTCCTAGCCTTATGGTCTTCTCCAGATAATCCTGCCTTTTCATGATGTGCACAAAGTAGGACAGCCTCGGTTTCAACGGTTTGTTTTTTTTTTTGTTTTTTGTTTTTTTTTTGCCTTCCGAGACCGTTCAGGCTTGTCTTGATCTAGGACCCACTTCTTCATCTTTCTGGGACTCCCAAGCGTCTGCAACACTCCTCCAGCACCACATTTCAAACCAATCAAGTGCTAAACACCTGCTTTTTGCTTTTTTTTAGAATTTTTTTTGGAACTATTGGGTACACTTTAAAACCTTTTTAAGCTACACTGAAAACCACCAGATAATTTGAAGGCGTGCTCCACTTCTTGTATGTAGAGTCTTGATGGCTGGATATTTTTACCCCCATCTTTCCTCCCATGAGTTCAAAAAGCAGGAAACGGAGCTCCCTCTCCCCTTTATCCTAACACCAACCCTGTGAGGTTGGTCAGGTTGACAGAAAATAACCGGCTCAAAGTTCCCCAGTGAGCTTCAGGGCTCTGCAGGGTCTTCAGACGGGGTCTCTGACATCTCAGGCCGAGATGAATTCAAGAACTGAAGTGGGGGCTGTCCAAAATGGTTTGACCCTCCATCGTCCCACATGAACGCCTGTAGGTTCCCGTGCCGTGGTGGTGGGATCCGTGAGGCCTCCGGTCGCCAAAGGGTTTTGGGGTGTCGCTTGATGTTCGTGACAGATGTTCCCCAAGCAGTAACCTCTGTATTGTGCCTTTTGAATATCCAGAGAGAAACGGATCATACGATGTAGAAGTCAAGAACATTGGATTAGGGGATGCAAGAGATGGGGGTACCAATCCTGGCTCAGGTTGACCTCACAAGACGGCTGGGGAGATAAAGGATAGCAGAGGAGAAATGGGGTGCAAAGCGTCACGGGCTCAGAGCATGTGCTGTTTGGTGATTTCACGTCACAATGGCCGGGTATGAACCCAGAGCAATTGCTACAGAGCTCAGTGGGTTAGGCCTCTCTGCCTGCAGAGCCAGAGGTTTGAGAGTTCGATTCCCTGCTGGGCCTCCCTGCCAGGGGCTGGACTTGATGATCCACAGGATCCCTTCCAGCTCTGCATTTCTATGCTTATTACAGTAAAATATGCTGAAAAAACATGGATTATAGGAAATGCTAGTACTGTACATAACAGTGAATGCTATACAGAGAATGGTCTCTGTCTCCCTCTACTGGCCTGTTCGGGTAATGACATCATTCGGAATACCGTATTTTTCTCTGTATAAGATGCCCACACTTTTCTAACCCAAAAGTAAGAAATCTAAGTGGGACTTAGCAAGTATGGGGGGGGGGAGGATCAAAGCCCTGCAGGATCACTTTGATGCCTGCTTTCCCTTCCACTTGTTTTTGTTATCTCCTCAGCTTACTTCCATATATGACAACCCTCAATTTTTATTCTAAAGATTTTAGACAAAAGTATAGTCTTATACACAGAAAAATACAGTATATATTTGGGGGGGAGGGATTTATTTAATATTGTTAACATTTCCACGTTGCCTATACACAGAAAAATACAGTATATATTTTGGGGGGGAGGGGTTTCTTTAATATTCTTCACATTTCCACATTGTGGATAAGTGAATGAGCGAATACTGATCCCACGGATAAGGGGGCCCTACTGTATTGTTCTTACGAGCATGCAAAGAACTCAGGTCTGCCATTCATTCATGGGTGCATCTGAAAAGGGAGAAAAATAAAATAAAATTAACACCCACAAAGTTTTCCTGGCTAGCCAGCGGTGACCGCCAGGCTAATAATTAAAGGCCTCTGCCTAATTTAATTTCTCTCTTTTTTTAAAACAGGTTTCCCACCCCCTGAAAAAAATAATTGGAGTCCCCCCCCCTCCAGGACTCCCCCGGGGAGAGCATTCTCTCTTTCTCTAAGCACTGCATTCCTGCCTCTGATTGCAGACTCTTGCACTTTAAAGAGATGGACTGGACTTCAAGGAGGTTGATGATGGTTTTAGAAGTGGGAATAAACAAGGAAACCGGTGGCGCACAGGAGATAGACAGTCCACCTTCAGTTTTTTTCCTCTCCTTTTTTTGAAAGCTTAAAAAATGTAGATGACAGAAGCCTGCAATAACTCCCCACCTCGTTATAGTTTTAAAAGCAACAAACGTGTTTTAATCTTTCATCTATTTTAGGGTGTCATTTTTAAGGGGAAAACTATGGATGTCATGGATGTTCTTGTTTAGAGGGTTCTTTTTTCATTTAGTTTTTTTAAGTGGTATTACTCTTTTAAGTTGCTGCCTCTACTTGGATTTTAAAGCAAACTGTAGCCTGTTTATCTGAGTCAATAAATTATAGAAAAGAAACCCTGCTTTGCTGTGTCTAATTTTTCCCCCCTCTCCATGGAATGGAACTTTCACGGATGTTCTGTGACCAATAATTTTAATGTGCCTCTGAGGGTATAGGGAAATCAACCCTGAGTGCTCCCTGGAAGGACAGATCCTGAAGCTGAGGCTCCAATCCTTTGGCCATCTCATGAGAAGAGAAGACTCCCTGGAAAAGACCCTGATGTTGGGAAAGTGTGAGGGCAAGAGGAGAAGGGACTCTGTGGGTCATCAAGGGGGGAATCGAACTCCCAACCAGAGGCCTTAAACCACTGAGCTAATATGACACTACTGAATACATTAACAGATATGAAGGACAAGAACCCTGACACAATACTGCCCACCGCAAACCCAACAATACCAGAGAGAGAGAAAAAATAATACAATAATATATTGATGGATTAGTTAATTAATAGCTAATTAATACATTAATTTAAAAAAGGCAAATGCCATGAATTCTGATATTGGTGCCCCCCCGCGCCCCAATAAACACAACTTAAGTCAGGAACAACGGTGTGCAGGTCAATTCACCCATTCATTCATTCATTCATTCACATGCTTCTAACAGGGATTCTGATTCGGGGTTCCGGGCACGAACCACCCGCAGCCTTCCGGTTCCCCATCGAAAGCGGCGCCTCCAACAAGACACGGCGCTGCCCCCCCCCCACCTTCCTGCGGGGCCCGAGTGGGTGGGTGGAGGCCTGCGAAAAAGAAAGCCGGCGCTGGCCCTTTAAGAGGCCGGTGGGGCGCATGCGCAGTGGCGCCAGCAAGGGGGCGAGGGTTCCTCCTCCTCCTCCTCTCGCCCCCCCTCCCCACCTGGGTCCTCGCCCTTTCCTATACCGGGACAGAAGGGAGGGAGGGGCGCCCACCTGCCCGCCCACCCAGGGGGGGTCTTTGCCACCTGGGCCGGCTGGCCAGCCTCTCCCCCCCCCCCCCAATTAGTGCTATGGTTTCCTA